GTTTCAAATCAAAATATGACCTTCTGTTATGAAACAGGACATTATATATAGTTTAATAGTTTATTATACATTTTGGGAGACAAAATAATTGAATACGAAAACAATTACATATCAATATTCTTATGAAATATTAGATATTATGAAAATCTGGCCAATTACTACTCCCATTATTACACCTAACAGCACTTTAATATGCAAATTTAATGTTAATTTTTACACACATATTGCGTGAAGCAAAATGGTATATCAGATTATTTTGTTATATATTTTATAACACAGTTGAGAACCATCCTTAAACACAGTTAGTTCTAAAAAAATCCTGAAAAATTGAAAATTGATTGGCGATTTAAAAAAAATTCCCATTGTTTTTGCCTCTTCATGTCTACTCGTCATTTAATTTTTTAGAAAATCTGAGTCCTGGTGTCCTCTACAGAGGACATAGCATAACTTCTGAATAAAATTTAATTTATCCATATGCTCTAAACAATGTAACGACATGGAAAAATACTAGATTCACAAAGCTTTTTATTTCTGGTTCTCAGGAGGATATATAAATACATTTAATATAAATGTATTCTTAAATATATGCATGCATGTTTGTATTTATATATACATAATAAAAGTCACTGAAGTCAACGCATCAAAATAAGTGATTTTAAATATTTTAAAGTAAAACTTTACATTTGACGTTATTACAAAGTGCACTCTCACTTACGTGGCCTTAATTGTAAACCATTTTAAGTACACTACAAGTGCACATTTAATACAATTAAACGCACTACTCTTTCACAGCAGTTAGCAGCACGAGTAAAAGGCACTCAGTTGAACCAGGCTGTTTTTGATGATAATGTTAAATATAAGTGTGTGATATGTGTGTGTGTTTGAGCTCGGCTGGGTTCCTCTGTAATCTCCTCCTCTCGGATGTTCAGTCCAGCACTTTTCTCCGTATCGACAGCGACCCTGAAGAAAGGTTTTCTGTCTTTGGAGAAAGAGTTGAACTTTTGAAAATAAAGAATGAGGACACAATTTTGGAGATTTGTTCCCGTTGCTAAAACTTTCTGGAAAAATAAAATGCAATTCTGACAGCCGACCTGGCTACAAGTTGGTTTATTTTAATAAAAAATAAAAAAAAAGACTAATTGTACACACAAAAGGTGCAAAGTATGTTTTCCAAACCTTTACTAAAGAAGTTAAAAAGCTGATATATATATAAAACTGAATATTTTTTAAATGTAAAAGTATTCCAAATAGTCTTTGTTTAAATACCTAAATACATGTCTAAACAATTATTTATTAGTGCTGTCAAATGATTTGTTTACATGCATGTGTGTGTATTTATATATATATATATATATACACAATACGTGAACAAAAACCTATTTTTGATGCGATTGATCGTTAGACAGCACTTTTCTAAATGTGGCACACATAGCTTAGGACACGGTGTTAATATTTACATAATTGTTTGAATTATATAAACACTAACATAAATGTGTTGTGCAGTATTTTAGATCTGTATGAGTTTTCAATTGAAAGTGCGACTGGATTAATTATAGATTTATCAATTTCACACATTTTGAGCTCCTTTTTGCGGTATTAGCACTCAACTGCAGCAATAAACACAATTGTGATGTTTCCACCTGTAACATTTTCTCGTCAGTGAAATTAAGAATTTGGGTAGCCTGTAAAATAATATATTCAGAGAACGGATTCGATATGTAATCAATATATAACGCACTTCCCAATTAATAAAGTGTGCATGAGAGAAAAGCCGGTGTCCTCAAACAGTAACTGGACCAAAAGGATAATCCACTTCTTACCTCCTGTGTTAGGATCTATATGAGCTTATTATTTTTATTGTGAGTATTCGGCTTATCATTATTGCTGATCACGGTTGTTGTGATATTGTAATATTTACCATTATATAATCAGAGGAGTACAGAAAAGTTTATGAAAGTGTCACTCCATAATACAATAGCAAAATATATAAATATGTATAGTATTTTTATGTTACGTTAATCAGTGTCTAGCACACCTTCCTAAGGAAAGGATATGGAGCAGAAGAAATTGCATTTACTAAATGATATTTAAACATACTTAAAGAAGTTCCAGATCTATACTTGTGCTCTTATTATTTCAGTTATTCTGCATTTAATGTAAATAAACATGTGCAAACAATATTCTTGCTCTTGTGAATTTATTTGGATGTTAATTACATTGTGCGAGCTGTCTCTTTAATACCGCGTGGTTTATATACATGCTGCTGCTGATTGGGCTGACATGTTTGACACACCCACCAAACAAGAGAAAACGCATCTCAAACCCCGTTGCACACCGTTTCCAGGAAACATGTCGTTCAACCCGGAAACCGTAGCAAAACGTTACGCACCGGTTTGAGCTTGAACGTGCCCCAGTTCAGGCAGCATCCGCCAATCAGCGAGCGAGACGGCAGACAAGAGGTCCTCGCGAGGACAGACTCCAATATTTGAAAATCTGGAATCTGAGGGTGCAAAAAAATTTTAATATTGAGAAAATCATCTTTAAAGTTCTGATATATTTACTCCTCAGCGTCCAGCACGGATCAGCTCTAGGCATGATGAAGCAGATATCGTCCTCTTTTGGAAGACCAAACAAAGTAGTTTCACTTTCACAACGAAGCACACAGCGTCTTCACGACATGGCGGCGGCGGCAGCAACAATACTACAGCGAGAATAAAAGTTACGCCTTCTTTCTTTGCGTGAACATTTGGGCGGCGTTATGCAAATCTTCTCACATAGTGATGTAGACATGTGGGGGCGTGTTAGAACGAGGCGTTTTAGGTAGGCGTGGCTGACTCTTAACTTTTATAAAGAATATCTCTTTGGATTTGAGACTTTAGTCTTTGCAACTTTACAGATCTTCTTTATGCACCAAAAGCTTGTAACACTCCAAAGAGAAAGGAAAACTTGAAATCGCATCATATGACCCCTTTAAAGTAGCTCAGTTTAAATGTATTGTATGAATTGCCCTTACTATGGAATAAAAAATACGGGGTGTCTATTTACATTTAGTTATAAGTGGGTCATCATGAAATACATATTTAGCTCATAAAACAAGTGAAGAAAATCAGTAATTATTAATATAATTATAAATGTTTCTATTAGTTTTCTGTCAATGTTATCTTTTTTAAATAATGACTGATAAACATTTTTGAATAGTTGATGAACGCAATAAATTAAGCCGTTTCCAATGAAAAATTGACTGAAAATATACATGGTTTACAGAATAAGGTTTTGAAGACCATTTTTAGTCCATATGCATAAATGATTATTACATACAGTATCATACTAAAAAAGAAAAAAAAATAAGAGAACAGAGTCAAAGGCAGTTTTCAAATATTATATTAATTTTTATTTCAGTTTTGACAAAATACCCATAAAATCCGAAGCTCCTACCTTTACAAAAATATGTCTTCTACAAATGTCCTGCGGTCTTTTCACGGGAGCGAGCGAATAAAACACAGTGTAGAGTATCTGATAAGCTCGGAAAGCCTTAACGAGGCTCGTTTGGCCTTCGTTTAATTAGTGTTTGTGACGAGTACAGCGTGGCTCAGCGCAGCAGCAAACTCTCTCAACACCTCTTAAATTAATCAACTTAAATTAGCACTCCACAAATATACAGTAACATGATTGCTTTGCTTTAACAACAAATAAGGTAGAAGTAATGCACAGACGTTGAAGCGGTTTCAACGGGAGCTCGATTATAAGATGATTCACACACACACAAAACAAACTAACGTGGTTTTGGTCCCACAGAATTGTACAGGTTTATCATCAGAACACAAAAGCACAGCAGCTCAGCACAAGAGAAGGCAACTGCGTTTCTTCAAGCCAGGTTCAATGTAAATGAAGACCTTCATCTTCTGACTCCAAAGTGCAACGGAGCGTACGAAGAGGAACCTGCGGCAAAAACACTTCAATCAGCATAAAACATTCATTCATTATTAATGAAATCAAATCTAGTACTTTATTATTTCTAAATGATATTACGGAAGACAGCAAGCGCTTGCCATTCAGAAAGCTTTACATGCTTTCAGCTATATATATATATATTAGGGGTGTGCGATATTGACAAAAAATAATATCTCGATATTTTCTGGGATTTGATCGATGATGATAATTAGACGATATTTTGCTGAGTGTGTTATTGTGCTGATATCTTAAGGACTGCCGAAGACAGCTGACTCCTAATGTTTTTAATATTCTTCATATTCTGTGTGCTGGTCAGTTCATACTGATAGAATTAATCGTTTCCAATAAGTTTAAACTGATTTTTGCATTTTATGGGTATTTTTACCTTTACAAAGCCATTTTTTCTAAAAGTGTCCATTATCTTTTGAGTCAAATTCTTACATTTAATCAGGGAATTAGAATAGTAAGACATCTGGGCTGTTAACGAGCAAATTAAATCAACACAGACGCTGCATCTGAAGCTGCATTTAGATGTGTTTACACACATGTATTTTGTTTAATGCAAGACATGAATGCATTTAACCTGCAATTACAAATGCATAAATAATGTTTTGATATATTAAACATAAAACGTTGAATACTGATATTTGAAATGATTTAAAACATGAAAAAAAAAGAAAAAGAAAGAAAAAGCCGGAATGTGAAATTAAAGCCGTCAGTAGGTGGCAGCAAATCACTGTTAATAAGTGAGTCGTTGCGATTGAACCGAATCATTTAAACGAGTGATTCATTCAGGAACGAAACACCGTCATGTTGCTCAGACACAAAACAGCACTGTGGCTGTATTCGGGATGAGTTTTGCTGGCAAAATAGAGCAAAAACAAGCAATATGGCGTCTAAAACGCAAATCTCTTAATTAACTTATTGTTTATTGAATCATTCAGGAACGAAACACCGTCATGTTGCTCAGAGACACAAAACAGCGCTGTGGCTGTATTCGGGATGAGTTTTGCTGGCAAAATAGAGCAAAAACAAGCAATATGGCGTCTAAAACGCAAATCTCTTAATTAACTTATTGTTTATTGAATTCAATGTCACATTTGTAATCATGGTCATTTTTGGAGAAAAACGGCACTCTTCGTGTGAAGTTGAATAACTATATGAAGTGGTATAAATATATACATCTTCTGCCGTCATGTCTTGAATTGGTGATCATTCTAAATGCATTATAATAGACTGAATCATGCAGTGAAAGAAAACTCGCACACGCACTAATCTAGACTTCACGTGATGTATGCATGCGCTCAAAATACTCGATAATGTCAAATCGCACATCGTTAAAACAACAATTACGATGTTATCGCAGACGATATATTTTGCACACCCCTAATATATATATATATATATATTTATTTATAAAACGGAGCGTTCCGGTGCTTGATTCTCATTGGTTGAGCTGCGTTTGAAGCTGTTGTAAATTACTCTACAAACATACACCTTTATTTACTTCTGTGTGTTGTTTGGGAAACAAATTTGTTGGAACTAGTGGTCGACCGATATGGGTTTTTTGACAGCCGATGCCGATATCTTGGAAAGCAGGGTGGCCGATATAAAGCCGATATAATTTTAGTTATATTTAAGAAATGTTAAAATAATTTGAAAATGGATTAAAAAAATTAATTTGTTAAATAAACATACTTATACTTTAGATGACAAAGTATTTTTCACAAATAAATATTTAATAAAAAATATAATAAAAAAAAGGAAGTGAACACTGTAACCAACAGGGCACTCAGTATTCTGGGAAGTTTGTGTGCATTGGGAATCATATTTTTTCAAATAAAGCCAAGGTAACACTAATTTTACACACAGCACACAGTGAAAATGACATGAATATGGCAGCGGGTAAATGCATAAAGCGCAGCATAATTTGAAATCACGAGTTTAAAGTTAGTCTCCAGTGAAGCTGAACTCTCCTCCTGTCCGTATTCAATTCACACGGACCGACCGTCACGCAGAGAACACGCAGGTCACATGCACACGTCACAAGATCTCACGACTGGATTCGACTAAGTTTGCAAGGTTTGTGAAATTAAATGTTCATTAGTCATTCAAAGATTTATTTAAATGATATAAATGCATATTTGCTGAATGCTGACGGCAAAGGAGAAAGTATTATAATGTTTGCCTTTCTATTACTAATAATATAAAAGCAATCGTTAAGACTTTTTGTATACATTTTAATTCCTGTTTAACGGTTCTATCTGATTATTAGACAGACTTCTGTCCGTATTAGACAGTACTGTTAACGACGACGGCGAACGAGAGGGAGAATGTGAGCACTGTGTGCACTGCCGCTCTCAGCGCCGTCAAAATAAAAGTCCCGCCTCGAACGCTTCGGCCAAACAGGAAAACTTATCGGCCACTGCCGATATTTAAAAAATGCCACATATCGGCCGATATATCGGTCGACCACTTTGTTGGAACCACAACTGATTCTGAGGAACTTCACTGTAAACCACGGCTTCACGGGCTTATTGCTTTAATATAATATCTAGATTTATTAACTATGTTTTTATAAGCTGTCGACCCAAAAAAAACGAGGGCCACAAAAGTAGAGCGCAACGTGTCTATTACTCTGAGAACTGCGCCCACTGGAGGGAAACGTAATCGGAGACAGGAACCATTCATTATTTTTAACCATGATTATTTGACCACCCGATGTGAACCTGAGGAGCAGATATATTGAGAAACTAAACTTTATTGGTCTAGTGTTCCTTTTCCTAACCTTCCTTTTGAGAAATGATCCGAATTAAATACTCTGACATCTAACTATTTGTGTCCTTAAATGCTCGTTTTTGTGGGGTCGACAGCTTATAAAAGCATAGTTCTGGGTTTTTTAGCTTGTTTGCTGTACATCTTGTCACACAGCAGCTTTTAGGCATTGTTCTGTTTTTTGTTATGAGTCAGAAATGACAAGGAGGCAGCTTCCCGCAATACATAGTCAACGGAGAGCGTTGGATTGGTGGGCGTGGCCTAAATGCGTTCCGTCTCTATAATGAGCTGGAGTATTTAAAGTGACAGGCATGTTGCCGTGGTTACCTGACTGCACACTCCCCAGACGTCTCTGCAGAGCCTCCAGACGAGAGATGTAGTCGGTGAGAGCGCGGTCGGGGTCGTAGTTCTGCAGGTGTGAACACGGCAAACCTCCGCCGTCACCGGCCGCCGAGTGAAACCTACAGCCACAAACATCAAAGACACATCCAGACCTGCCCGTCATCTTACACTGATGAACATGATGCAGGACGACTGACTCATTCATAAAGAGAATCACTTAGTTCATTTCCGTTTGAACGAATCCAGTCAATGATTCAGTGACTCATTCATAAAGACGGTCATTTGATTTGTTTCTGAATAATTTAGAAAACTGTACAAAATGAGTGAGTCAATGATTCACTCAAAGACGGTCACTTGATTTGTTTCTAAATAAATCAGCTGTTTGAACGAATCAATCAAGTCAATGATTCAGTGACTCATTCAAAAAGACGGTCATTTGATTCGTTTCTGAAAGACTGAACTGTTTGAATGAATCGAGTAAGTCAATGATTCAGTGACTCAATCAAAAAGACGGTCATTTGATTTGTTTCTGAATAATTTAGAAAACTGTACAAAATGAGTGAGTCAATGATTCAATGATTCACTCATAAAGACGGTCACTTGATTTGTTTCTAAATAAATCAGCTGTTTGAACGAATCAAGTCAATGATTCAGTGACTCATTCAAAAAGACGGTCACTTGATTTGTTTCTGAATAATTTAGAAAACTGTACAAAATGAGTGAGTCAATGATTCAATGATTCACTCATAAAGACGGTCACTTGATTTGTTTCTAAATAAATCAGCTGTTTGAACGAATCAAGTCAATGATTCAGTGACTCATTCAAAAAGACGGTCACTTGATTTGTTTCTGAATAATTTAGAAAACTGTACAAAATGAGTGAGTCAATGATTCAATGATTCACTCATAAAGACGGTCACTTGATTTGTTTCTAAATAAATCAGCTGTTTGAACGAATCAAGTCAATGATTCAGTGACTCATTCAAAAAGACGGTCACTTGATTTGTTTCTGAATAATTTAGAAAACTGTACAAAATGAGTGAGTCAATGATTCAATGATTCACTCATAAAGACGGTCACTTGATTTGTTTCTAAATAAATCAGCTGTTTGAACGAATCAAGTCAATGATTCAGTGACTCATTCAAAAAGACGGTCACTTGATTTGTTTCTGAATAATTTAGAAAACTGTACAAAATGAGTGAGTCAATGATTCAATGATTCACTAATAAAGACGGTCACTTGATTTGTTTCTGAAAGACTGAACTGTTTGAATGAATCGAGTAAGTCAATGATACAGTGACTCATTCAAAAAGGCAGTCACTTGCTTTATTTCTAAATGAATCAGCTGTTTGAATGAATCAAGTCAATGATTCAGTGACTCATTCAAAAAGACGGTCACTTGATTCGTTTCTGAAAGACTGAACTGTTTGAATGAATCGAGTAAGTCAATGATACAGTGACTCATTCAAAAAGGCAGTCACTTGCTTTATTTCTAAATGAATCAGCTGTTTGAATGAATCAAGTCAATGATTCAGTGACTCATTCAAAAAGGCAGGCACTTGGGTTTGTTTCTAAATGAATCAGCTGTTTGAATCAATCAAGTCAATGATTCAGTGACTCATTCAAAAAGGCAGGCACTTGGGTTTGTTTCTAAATGAATCAGCTGTTTGAATCAATCAAGTCAATGATTCAGTGACTCATTCAAAAAGGCAGGCACTTGGGTTTGTTTCTAAATGAATCAGCTGTTTGAATCAATCAAGTCAATGATTCAGTGACTCATTCAAAAAGGCAGGCACTTGGGTTTGTTTCTAAATGAATCAGCTGTTTGAATCAATCAAGTCAATGATTCAGTGACTCATTCAAAAAGGCAGGCACTTGGGTTTGTTTCTAAATGAATCAGCTGTTTGAATCAATCAAGTCAATGATTCAGTGACTCATTCAAAAAGGCAGGCACTTGGGTTTGTTTCTAAATGAATCAGCTGTTTGAACGAATCAAGTAAGTCAATGATTCAGTGACTCATTCAAAAAGGCAGGCACTTGGCTTTGTTTCTAAATGAATCAGCTGTTTGAACGAATCAACTATTTGAATGATTCAGTGACTCATTCAAAAAGGCAGGCACACGCTTTGTTTCTAAATGAATCAGCTGTTTGAACGAATCAGCAGAAAGAATGATTCAATGACTCAATGACAAAAGTGACTTTAGTTTCATATTGAGAGAATCATTTGATCTTTTTTCCCCATTTCATATTTCAATATTCATTAAAAAAACATTAATGTCCATTTATTAGCATTATTCTTTCAATGTTAAATCAAAACAGTTCTATCTAAAGCTACTTTTGATAGTGCGTCTCTCATCAAACACAGTACTGACTGATCTTTCAGGGGTTTACACATTATGTATGATTGTTTGCACCTGTGCTGGTGCGATGCGGCGGAGCGAGGAGAGTCCCGTCCCGTGCGTCCGCGGCTGCTCGCTCGTCTCTCTCTGAACGCCTCCACACCGCCGGTGTGAAGATACGACGACTCGTTCCTCACATCCGCACCTTCAGCCAATGTTTAACACAACAAACTAATGCTTCTAATTCATCAGGGACACACTAGACTCATCAAAAGTGACAGTAAAGACATTTATAATGTCACAAAAGATTTCTATTTCAAATGAATGCTTTCTAGGGATGTAACAATATCAAAATCTCACGGTGCGATAATACCGTAATATAAAATGCAATATTTATTGCGATATTTAAAAAAAAAAAGAAAATATTGTAAATGTTAAAGTTAAATTATTCTAATAATAATAATAATAGGTATATTATTTTCGCTTTACACTACAGTAGGGAAATTACAATACTTCTTTCCTAATTTCTACACTTGAAAGATTTAAACAAATATATTTTAAAAACTACACTTTTTGCCCGGAAGACCTATCGTTTCATATCGTCATGTGACCACGATAATATCGAGACTGCTTTGCTATCGCGATATTGATAATATCGTTACATCCCTAATGCTTTCTATTCACCAAACAATCCTGAAAAATAAAAGGTACCATGGTTTAATCAACAAAGATATGAAGCAGTAACAACACAACAGCAGACAGTATGTGTGTGTTTGTAATGCGAGACTGTCACCTGTGATTGGAGCGAGGCCGTTTCTGTTGACAATCTGAGACGTGTCACTTCCTCCAGCTGCTCTCTGCCATCGCTTCACCAGAAACCTCATCCTGCAGGAGACAGCGATCATCCAGCATTACCAGCCAATCAGTGTCTGCTCCATAATACGGTTACATCAAGCTGAAGCCAGAAGACTCTGTGACTCGACCGTAGAATTTAAAGACTGAATGAGACGCAGATCCACTCTCTGACAGCAGAGCTGCGCTTATGAACAGCAATGATAGTGTTTCCTTGGTTACCGCTGTAAACAAAGCAGCGCTGCGCTTATGAACAGCAATGATAGTGTTTCCTTGGTTACCGCTGTAAACAAAGCAGCGCTGCGCTTATGAACAGCAATGATAGTGTTTCCTTGGTTACCGCTGTAAACAAAGCAGCGCTGCGCTTATGAACAGCAATGATAGTGTTTCCTTGGTTACCGCTGTAAACAAAGCAGCGCTGCGCTTATGAACAGCAATGATAGTGTTTCCTTGGTTACCGCTGTAAACAAAGCAGCGCTGCGCTTATGAACAGCAATGATAGTGTTTCCTTGGTTACCGCTGTAAACAAAGCAGCGCTGCGCTTATGAACAGCAATGATAGTGTTTCCTTGGTTACCGCTGTAAACAAAGCAGAGCTGCGCTTATGAACACTACTTTAATATGCATTATACAGAGGCAAGATGAAAAGAAAATACCACAAACTTTTCTATAGACAGTCAGTTCCCTTCAGAGATAATTCATATAACCTCCTGCTCCAACAGTATCGCGATTTGTTTGGCATCTCAACCGATTTGAATCGTCACACATTTGAATCGATTTTTACCCAGCTCACGGTTCATCGTCACATCCCTAGTGAAGTGTGAAGGTGTGTGTGTACCTGGAGAGGGCGATGAAGACTCGCGCGGCTGATCTGAAGCGTGTGAAGCCCCTGCGCTGACGGCTCACAGACTCCAGACAGGTGTGTGCAGGGAAGCCACCCATCCGGCCGATCAGAGACAGCGTGGCCTCCTCACACTCCTGAAATCCTCCCAGCAGCAGCAGAAGATACTTCTTCTGATAGATCAGAGCCTTCCGGAAGCTCTCGGCACGCAGGTATTTCCCATACATCCTCTGTGGAGACAGACGGGCGGTGAAAAAAAATGCATTATTTATTCATTAAAAACCATGTCTAATATGTGACCCTGGAGCACAAAACCAGTCATAAGGGTCAATTTTTGTAAATTGAGATTTATACATGATCTGAAAGCTGAATAAATAAGCTTTCCATTGATGTATGGTTTGTTAGGATAGCACAATGTTTGAAAATCTGGAATCTGGGGGTGCAAAAAAATCTAAATATTGAGAAAATCATCTTTAAAGTTGTCTAAATGAAGTTCTTAGCAATGCATATTACTAATCAAACATTAAGTTTTGATTTATTAACAGTAGGAAATTTACTAAATATCTTCATGGAACATGATCTTTACTTAATATCCTAATGATTTTTGGCATAAAAGAAAATGTATTTTGACCCATACAATGTATTGTTGGCTATTGCTACAAATATACCTGCTTTTGTGCTCCAGGCTCACATATATGTTTTATGATTTTAATTAATTTTAAATCAGTTTATTAAGTTTATTAACAAAAATGACATGTTTAGGGCCCTTTGAAATGTTTTATTTATTCCCACCTTACGATTGTTACCAAATTCTGTTTTAGCATGTCTAATTATTTGAATGCATAAAAACTATTTTTATGTATTCTTACAATAGCCTTTTGAAATTCTTTATTTACATTTTTACTGGTTATAAACTGAAGGCATAAAATATGAAAATGAAACAAATTAAAATTTTTCTAGTCAAATTGAAACATGGAAGAAATATTGTGTGATTATTCCTTAAAAAATAAAGTTTCTATAAAGTTTTCACCTGCAGTAGCAGCAGTATTACTTACGTTCTACTGAATTACAGTAATATATTTCTGCAACAATTTCTTCAAGTTAAACCAAACTTTTATTTTGACGGGTTGCCATCCATACTTTTACATTTCTGTGTACATACGCTAGTTTTACTCAAATGAAATAAAAAAATCGCTTGACAGCACTAATATTTAAAAATTATTTTTAATATAATTTCTTGGTAACAGAAAATTTTTTCTCTGGTAACCTAAAATGTGCATCCTTTAGTTACATCAATGGTCAAATCAAATATAAATAGCACATTACAGTTAAAAGTTGCGCTCTTTTTTGTGTGCGCACTGTAAGAATGTTTTTCCTCTGGTGGCCAAAACATCCGCCCAATAGAGAAAAGTTTTGCTCAGCAAGAATACAATGAGAGGGATCACTGGTTGCTAACGCTCACCCTGAGGGCCGTGTTGTCCAGATCGGCTCCGGTCAGATCCCGCAGCGCTTCGGAGCGAATAAGCTCTGCTCTCAGACGGCTCAGTTCTGCCTCGGCCTGACGGAGAGACTTCTCCAAACGATTCCTCTCCTGAGCCCACGAGTCACGCTCGCTAGAAATCACCACCAGCTCCTGACGGTCCACGCCAGCCCCGATCCAACTCTGTTTGACCACAAGAACAACGTCACTTTATACATGCTGCTTCCACATCGTCTGCATGAACACTTAACATCATTTCCTACAAAACCAACAGAGGGACAGAAAAACTAAATTACAGAAAGAAAACGGATAGGTAGATATAATAAAATAAAATAAAAACAAATACAATTTCAGTTGAGGTTTTCTTTGTCTGTAACTGATTCACTGACTCACTGATTGATTGCTTGATTTGTTCACTAATGCTCTCTGTGGTTTTTTTCTTCTGTCTGTAACTGACTCACTGATTCAT